GGGGGGGGGGGGGGCACTCGAGTATTTTTTGGGTGGGAATGTGTCGCCCGGGACTCCTAATTGGCACCCTGTTCTAAAAAAATTCCCCTAAAATTGATATCCCGTTCTAGAAATGGGCCAATTTTTTATACTCCTTTCTAGGGTGCAACAAGAGTACAACACTTTGCTTGTTAATGCATTGAACCGTATTTTTAAAAGCAATCTGTCCTTGAATAATTTCAAATGGCTGCTTACAAAACTGGAGCTTTCGTGCATTCGAAATATTATACCCCGTTCCAGAAAACGCCTCTGAAATGGATACCCCGTTCTAAATCAAGAGCTTCAAAATCACAACCCTGTTGGGCGGCACATACCCGTATAGGTAATGGATGGGAGTTCCCCCCCCCCCCCGGACTGCACCCCAACACCACCCTCCTCCCCTTACCCCATGGGGGTTGATATGAAGAAGTAGCAGTCTAATCTCCAGCAGGGGACAAATCTACAGTGTCATTGGGTAGTAGTACAACTGTCTCTTTTCCCCTGCTGCTAGCTGGCATATTAATTAAATCACTGGTGCTATAAGAATATTGTACGACTAAAAATTCCTCAACCATACAACTGACAAATTACTCAGCAGGTTTCTTTGAGCATCTGACAATCTATTAACTGGCCATCTGACAGTCTTGTCAGGGACAGTATCAAAGCTAGGTCTTGTCTTTGCTTGCAGATTTACAGTCAAAGATAAGGATTCATGGTTTATTTCCTACAGTCCATGTGGTGTATTTAGTGAGTTTGTAAACAAGACCCGGCCTGGTGTTAAATCATGTGTTGATGTCTCTGTAAGTATGTAGCTGGAAAATATATTCACTGTACCGCAGCTGAAAGAATGTAGCTAACTAACATATTCTATATATTTATATATTTTTTTATTCACACTTTTATTATTATTATTTATTAATGTTTTATTACAACACGTAAAGTACAAAATAGGTATGTACTTATAATGAAACAAAACAAAAATAAAATAGAAAAGGACAGAAAGAAACAAAAAACTTACATAATTACAATGGAAGCGTGAGCATATCATATTACTTCAGTAAATAGTACAAAAATTTCATTGTTCCATGATTTTTGTTATTCTAAACGTTATATTTCCTACTTTTCAGGTTGCGAGATGGACAAATGAATCTGTCCTTAGCTGTGAAAGTCTGGGTAATGATGCAAATTCCGAGTTTGTTAGCTCTGTTGCAGGAGATGTTGGAGGGAATGTCACAGCAAACCTCACCTTAAAGTTTAGGTTACAAAGTATTAAATGTGATTTTTTTCCTCCTTTCTGTTGTTTCTCAGTATACTTATTTTTGCACTTCGCATGTCTTTTTTGCTGCTTCCCCCCGAGCACCCTTACCAAGTCAGGAATTTAGCTAAATGAGGTCATATACCTTTTGCATAATACTTCATTGTTATTTATAATATTGCAGGAGCAGAGCTGCTGAACATCATTCTGCTGTTATTTCATTGGTGTGTAACGAAACTCTGCCAGAAAATGAGACAGTGTTTGAATACATTAACACAGTGAATATTCCCACTGACACATATGTAAGTGCCCTCACTTTTCCAGGACGTTCTTGCTTTCATGTTTTTAAAGCCATGTTAATAATGGTACTGAAGAGTACAGGAATAGCAGATCAAAAATAGTAACTTTCAGGAAAATCTGATTATCAAGAATTCCATTTTGGTTAAAAACAGAAAGTAGTTTCTGAGTTTAAATAGGTTCAAATAAATTTCATCCAGCTAAAACATCTTTTAGGTTTGGAAAGAAAGTTTAAGAAAAAATAAGAAAATGATAATATTAAAACCAGGCTGAGGTCCATAATTTGAATTATGACAATTTATGATAAATACATGAAGTGATGTCAATTTCTATCTGCAGTATCTAGCATTAACAAGTAAATGCTGTTGTCCAGGAAAATGTGGAACTCCTCCGGGTAAGAAATAAGATTTAAGTTTTAATATAATGTAGGTTAACAGAAAATACATTTATTGCATTACACTGCTGCCCAGTTTTGATTTCTTTGAATGAGTCAGACATTTCTTTTACATAAAAAGGATTCCTCTGCAGCACTGACAGTGATGAAATCAGGTGCTACCAAGCTAAATTGTATAACATTTTCTTTTAAAATATCATAGTTAAAGTCCCTGACTCCTTTTAGCAGTTGATTCCCAGGTTAACCCTGAAACATTCTAACATTGTTTTTTTTTCTGGTTTAATTTATCTTCAGCACTTCCTACTCCTCCAACCAAGCCAACAGGTCTGTTGATCACATTTAATTTTTTTTATTTTGCATCAATCCATAATGACCAGCAACATTTTACCATTAAACAGGGACATCAAGCACATAGTGTGCTTATAGTGTAACATAGGTGGTATTTGACTGGTATTTTAACATTTCCTGTCGAAACTTTGGGCACCCAGAACTGATCATGACTTAATGTTAGTAACAAACAATGGTAAGAGTCTTTCAATACACAGAGATGGCAGAGCTGGGGTACACTTTCCTTGCAGAAGAGTCTCTCAGCATTCAAGTCACTAGTCAGCCTCACCCTCCCCATGTGGACAAATGTAAATGTTCCACCATCCTTGATACAAACTGAGGGATTTTGTGAAGTTAATTATTTTTTCCTCTTCAGGCTCCCTCAAAACCTGGGAGATAATAGTGATTGCTGCTGCATGTGTGGTAGTTCTTGTGCTGATTGTTGTTGGAATGGTGTGGTACTACGGTAAAAAGAAACCTGGATATGAAGCAGTTTAGTAACAGGAATAATGATACTATATCTGCTGAGCTTAGTAGGAGTAACACTCTGCTATATATAGTAATAACGAGCTGTAACTAAAAAACTCAGCTGGAAAGAATATGGAAAGTAAAGAGGAAAGATTGAAATAAGTAGTATTTAAAATATTAATGTAATCATTTTTAGGCAGCAAAATATAGAATTTCCGTTTAAAGTAGTACCTGATCACGATAATCATTTCCTTAGAATTATTTAAAAGTAAGCTTAACTCTCGCCAAGGCAGACACCACTGGGAATGGAATGAAATCAACCTCAGGTCTGCTATCTTTCTTGACACTTGCTTTTCAAAATAGCATTTATCTCTACTAAGAGAATACATGTTGCATTTGTCAAACACAGCTGCCTTGTTATNAGTCTCTCAGCATTCAAGTCACTAGTCAGCCTCACCCTCCCCATGTGGACAAATGTAAATGTTCCACCATCCTTGATACAAACTGAGGGATTTTGTGAAGTTAATTATTTTTTCCTCTTCAGGCTCCCTCAAAACCTGGGAGATAATAGTGATTGCTGCTGCATGTGTGGTAGTTCTTGTGCTGATTGTTGTTGGAATGGTGTGGTACTACGGTAAAAAGAAACCTGGATATGAAGCAGTTTAGTAACAGGAATAATGATACTATATCTGCTGAGCTTAGTAGGAGTAACACTCTGCTATATATAGTAATAACGAGCTGTAACTAAAAAACTCAGCTGGAAAGAATATGGAAAGTAAAGAGGAAAGATTGAAATAAGTAGTATTTAAAATATTAATGTAATCATTTTTAGGCAGCAAAATATAGAATTTCCGTTTAAAGTAGTACCTGATCACGATAATCATTTCCTTAGAATTATTTAAAAGTAAGCTTAACTCTCGCCAAGGCAGACACCACTGGGAATGGAATGAAATCAACCTCAGGTCTGCTATCTTTCTTGACACTTGCTTTTCAAAATAGCATTTATCTCTACTAAGAGAATACATGTTGCATTTGTCAAACACAGCTGCCTTGTTATTGCCCTGATTGTCTTATTATAGACAGGCTTAATGATGGTTTATGCTGCATCAACTATAGGTGTGTAGAAAAGGTTTCCATTATATAAAGGTAGCAATGAAATTAAGGGAGTTGACTGTATAACTATTTCGTTTTTATGATTATTTTTGTTTTTCAATGAAAAGATTTAGTGCTTCAGTTCATATGTTTAGTTTTAACAAGAAAGGTAAGAAAATCAGGGGCAAATCTCAGACTTGTCTACATATATAATAATATTATTATATTCCACCTTTTGACTTATTTCTCAGTTATTGCTTTTTCTACAGCTGGCTAAACCATCTAATATTAAATACTGATAAGTTTTGTTTGTTACAAAATAATATGGTTTTTGGAATTTCTATGAGCAGCGGTACTAATTTTTCTTCAATGCTTGGATTACTTTTGCTGAATTTATCAACTTCTTTGACTGATGAGGACATCTTTGTCAGCATTATAATTTATGGCCTTAAAAATGGCGCAGTGGGCCAAAAAGGATTCATCCATGTCTGTGTGGAAACAAAAAGGAAAAAAATGATTATAATGAAGCTAACCTGGCAGCTTACTAATAATATTAATAGGAATGGTCTTCAAACTACAAGAATTTATTTGAAATAACTACAGGCCACAAAAAGGATGTTTAAATGCTAGTGGATGATCGAAGAAAGAAAAACTAGACGGGAGCAGCCCATTTACAGATACAGGAGGAAAATCTGGCTGAAGTTGGCCTTGTTTAGAAATGACTGTTTCTGTGTTGTTATGTAAATCGTGTTGTTGTTAGCATAATTTACATAAGAGAGGAAATGCCTTTGCAAGCAAGGTTTTAGCCAGAAGGGTGTCCAGCCGTCCTATGGACGCCCATTTTTGGAAGAAACACAAGGAAAATTCACCTAATCTCTTATACGTTTTGGAAAAACATGCCTTCTGGACGGCCAGTTTTCAATGTCTGGTTAAAAGCCTGTTTGCAAGGTTTAAGCCTCACATGCACTCAGAAGCTAAGCCCACAACTGTGAAAAGTTTTATCACTGAGAAACTTTACCTGGAGGCTCTTAAGTAACGTGAACTTAGTTCAAGCCTTTCTATGCTTAACGCACATATACTAACTAACTAATTAAGAAGATAATACATTTAGCTACTTTACTATCATTCACTGTGAAACAGCTTGTTTATATTGTGGAAACACAAGTCATTCGACCATGCTTAACAAGACTTGATCATAAAGTCATCTGCTTATAGTTCACTAATTGCCCTTTTTTAGACATGAAGTAATAGAATTATTGTTAAATGATTTAACAGATTCATAGTTCACCTCCTGCAGCATTTGATAGCTCCACCCAATCAGCTAACCACATTACCAGGGCCTCTGGGTCAACATCACTAGTGTCCAGGCCTCTTGAGTGACATACCTGACAGAAAAGGAACTAGGTTAATTCAATAATGAAACTTTAATGAGCACTATTTGCTTTCAATAAATTTGGCTGCTTTTTTGGGATACTTAAACAATAAAAATAGAGTATGATAAACTTATCTAATGAATGTACTACACCAAGATGTGAGACTGTTACATATATTATAAACAAGGAAGCATAGTAAAAATAACTCACATCTTTCAGTTGTTGTTCATTAAGACTCTCCAGTCCTTCTCTCTTTATAGCAGCATCTTCTTTTTGTATTGCTTGTAAAAGTTTCTTCAATCGAGCTCGCATAAATCTCTTTGGAAGCCATGGGCTAATAAGCCAGACCTGACTAAGTTTTTTCTGGATCAAAACAAAAAGAAAATTCTCAGTGCCATTATATTTTTTGCTTGTTATGATTTACTGTTAGCTAATTCCCTCACCAGATGGTAGCGAGGTAGGTGATCAAAGCTGAGAAGTTCTCCCTTAAAAAATTCCACTGCACTTAGAAGCTCTTCATTTGAAGGATGCTGCTTGTTCACAACCTGAAAGAAATATCAAGTACAGATTAATTTTAATAAATATTAAGTTACTTTCAGCACTAAATGTGTACTGTCATTAAGTTGCTAAAACCAGTGATGTGGCAGGTAACAGCACTCACCAGAGGTGAGACAAATAATTTGTCCCACATGAAGTGAAATTTGAGCCCATGTTTTCTCTAATAATTGCTGTTAGCTGGATAGTGATTTCTCCAGGGGATTAAGCACTTTTCAAGGTTTGAGCAACTGGTGCCAAAACTTTAAGTGCTTTGATGATACTGAAAATGGATGACAGCGTGAATAATGAAGTTGGTGAATTTAAAGTTAAATTTTCAACAAGGGAGTGGGGAAAACAGTGTGTCACTATCAGCATCTCATGCAGCACTAAGACATGTACACTAACATTTTTAACTACATCTACATAGATGATCTGCAATCATTTGAAATCATGGAACTTAGTCACCTGCACCCAAACCTCAACATGATGTTGATGTATCACAGCTAAAAGAAAATTAATAACATTAAGTACCTTAACTGAAGTAGACATTAGATCTGTTGATTGGCGGTTAATGTTTGCTTTGTGACTCAAGGCTAACCTTCCAACTTCTCTGACAACAGGAAGATAATATCTTGTTCGTCTTCTGACATCCTGCAAAGCAAACTTTTCCCATTGGTGTGGCTGCCAGTAATGACGGGATAGCAGCTGCTTAGGATACAGGAAGCTGGAAATTAATAGACACAAAGAATCTATGACTTGAATATACACAATTTAATAATGAGCATAATGATGACTGGTGATTTCATTAGCATTGTAACTGTAGATGAAGTCTTGGATTTATATTTATTACCCAGTCAGGTATTTACAATACAATACAATACAATACAATACAATGTTCTTTATTTTGAGAGGGTAGATACATGATTAACCCAGTAAAGAGTTTAGAGTATGGTCATTGCAGTTACCATGAAAAAAGAGCACTTACGCTACAAGTGGAACAGCATAGCCCAAGAATGGAATAAAGAAAGCTACCACAACTGGCAAACTCTTAAGAAGGTCTTTCCTTGTCTACAAAAGAACAGAGGTCAATATTAGTAAGTCAGAGTTCATTTCAAAAAGTTTTAAAATCATCCTGTCCCCAAGTTGAAAGAAATTCCAGTCCTAAATTTCTAAATTTAAATGGCAGTTCTAAATTTCTTATGTTGAAAGATTTCACCAAGCACGAAACAATGAAAATAAGCTATAAATACATAATGTGGGCGATAGTGTGTCACCATTAACTTATCATTTCATGTGTAAATAATGTACTTGTAAAAAAGGCTAACATTACAGTGTAATGAAATAATGTGTGAGGAAAAAATATTGCTTTAAATAATGCACTAATCAGTGGAAAGCCCCGCACCCCCATACCCGGGGAAAAACAGGGCATTAGACCATACATACCTTCTAAATGAAGCAAATTCCCCACTATGGGGGCAATTCTGTGCGTCAATAATTGTACAATGTTGACCAAAATTAATGTATTTCAAGAAATAAAGAATTAAACTTTTACAAATAGTAAAGTGAACAATGCTCTCCATCTCTCACACAGCCAAAAGTGTAAAGTTGAACAAAAAACTACCTTAAGTTACAGATTTGGAATTCCAAACTTCATAATCTCTCCAAGTGATTATGGTTGCATGAGACCTCCAGCTTATATGCCTACCCAGAACAATATTCCAGTTATTTCCCATAAGAAGTAGTGTTTATATGCTTCTGTTCTCCTACCCCTTGGGCCCATGCCATGCCTATTCAAGATAGTCTGAAGGGCAAATCCCCGTCTAAGCCCCGCTATTGGTCCCCACTAGCTGATACTTGCATCTTATACTGTTGAAAACTCCACATAGCGTAACAAAGTGACAGTCTAAAACCGCTGAAATATCCCACTACTGCCCCGCATTCCCAGGGTATGGGGGTGCAGGGCTTTCCACTGATTAGTGCATAACTAAGTGAAAAGTTTTAACAAGAGTGGTGTGTCTGAGCACAGGTAGACCAAGCCTATTTAGCATACTATGGACGACATAACATACATGAGGTGTTGTGTTTCACTGGTGGGTTTGAAGAGTATGAAGCAGCAAAGGAGGCTGGGTTTTTATGGGAAAACAACAGATTTTAATTTCAAAAGAAGAAATCCCAACTCAAGGGACAATAAAGTGCTGAGATCAGCAGAATTTGGGCAAAAAAGCAGATAAATGACAAGGAACACAAACTGATGAAGCATCACTACCCAGATCTGGGTAGTGCTTCCATTGGTTGAAGCAAATTTTCAGCCAATCAAAAGCACTACCCAGATCTTGGTAGTGATGTGTTTTGAGTATGGAATTCTTGTGACTTGTTTATCTCAGACAACATTTCACCGGGAAATCAGTGGTGGTGTCACGAAAAGTCACACTACGATATTAAGATGATAAGTTACTTAGGTTGCGATCCCATACAAACCTTCGTAATCTTTGAACTAAACGTTGTACAGAACACCTTACATATATTGTTGTGTTTAAAGTGCCCATTGTATGTTAAAATTGTGCTTAGACCCCCTGTGGTTTGAATGTTCTAAGAGTCAGTCAGAAGCACCTCATAAATAAGGCACTCAAATTTTACAGAGCATTTCTTTAAGGTGGTAAATATTTTCTGAAGATTGATCTGCGGCCTTTGATTATGTTTTCCAGTACGCATCACTTTATCCTTCAAAGACCAGAAATCTGTTGAAGTTATTTCTTTAATTACCTGATGTAAATGGATAATTTCCTCTGTTTTTAGACCATCCCAGTTGTAATTACTATTTTTCAACTTCTTCTGTATATCAAACATAAGCTTCACATCCTTGCCTAACTGTTTACTTCCAGCAACAAAANTTTACAGAGCATTTCTTTAAGGTGGTAAATATTTTCTGAAGATTGATCTGCGGCCTTTGATTATGTTTTCCAGTACGCATCACTTTATCCTTCAAAGACCAGAAATCTGTTGAAGTTATTTCTTTAATTACCTGATGTAAATGGATAATTTCCTCTGTTTTTAGACCATCCCAGTTGTAATTACTATTTTTCAACTTCTTCTGTATATCAAACATAAGCTTCACATCCTTGCCTAACTGTTTACTTCCAGCAACAAAAGTGTCGACAACTTTACGAAATTTTTGAACCCGTGAATCTCCCCTTGTTGAATTCGCAGAAGATGTAGAAAAGTTTGTAGTTTGATTACTATCCAAGCAATGGTAAATGCTTCCAACTTGTTTTACACAGATGAACTTTACTTGTTGAGGTATGTGGCGCTGGCAAGTTGTGAAAACACGGTAACCTTCCGTTATCCGACAACCGAACATCGTCGCCATATTTTATGGAGGCTAAGGCGAGAAAGCCTGGGTATAACAACATTAAATATTGAGGTGAGGGAGGGGTGGGAGGGGGAGGGGCTAGCAAAAAAAAGAAAGATAACATTTCTTATGACGTCATGGAGAACTTGTCCAGTTATATGTTTAATATCGTATTTACACTACTTCTGACCCCTACCTTACACCTCACCTTCACCCTTATTAACCCTTAGCCCAATATCAACACATTTTCAACCTCTCCAACCCCAACCCTCTCCAACCCTCTCCCCTCTCCTCCAATCTCTCCCTCAAACTATGGCCCAGTCTTCCCACGCGTAACCCCAAAGATGGCGGACGGTTCAAGTTCAAGTATGTCTTGAAATGAAATTACTTTTTCTTGACAACTTCATCTCTACTAACGAAAATCAGCTATGCTCTATGGTCTTTCTACTAGAAATGTGCTCCGTGCAAGGACATTTTTCAATCAAGATAGTTTGACGACTGTAACAAGAGGTCTTCGCCTATTTCAAACGAGCCTTCGCCGCCATGAAAATTACAGCAAATCATGGCTTGCTAAGGCTTCAAATGTTATTTCTAACAAGGGCGAAGGTTTGTTGAAAAGCTCGTTCAAAAGGACCAGTGGTCTTGTACAAGCTTTTGATGATCTGCTGGGGTTTTCCGAAGTTCAAGAGGCACAGTCCAGCGTCAAGAAAGCGGAGAATGATTTTATGAGTACTCGAAGTCAAGTGCAGGCAACGAAAATGGCGCTATACTCTGTTCAAGAAAGACTCCGAGAAGTACGTCAAAAATTAGACCGGGTTCCTCGTGATGACGAGCGTTATCTAGCACTGGCGACCGAAGAACACAAGATACTGGTTGAAGAAAAAAAGATGAAGACTGAACATGAAAGCTTGGAGGCACTGGAAAGAGATCAGTTTGCCCTGTTATCAGGAGCCGTCCGAAATTCCCATGAGAGAGAGCGACTAAGAGCAGAAAGGACCAAACACTGGTCTGTGATTGGGTCTATTGGAGGAGCAGCACTTGGTAAGCTCACCCTTAGTACTAAGCTCCCTCCCTTCACGATCACCCAGGTGCATTCCTCTGGGAACATATGGGGTGGGGTTGGAGTTAGACTTTGGGGTTTTGTTGACAACTTTGGTGGTACAGACTGTAAGTATTTTCCCAGTAATAATAATAACATAATATGCACTTTTTGAGTATCATTGCATTTAGCACTGAAGTACTAATTGCCCTTCGGACACTATTTACGTCTCCAACTGGCGACAGGACCACCATTTTATGTGGTCATCCAAGCCACTTAAAGATCTAACCACCTGCACAGGGCAAAGGAAGTACGTTCATTTCTCACTTGACTTGCTTGGTTCTCTTAGCCCACACCCTAATCTAAAACTTTTTATCAGAGCAACATGAGGCTTAAAAGCCCTACCCTTTATGAAGGGGGTGGGGAGGGGGGAGCAGGAAGGTGGCACATGCAGCAGAGTATGCTGATTTAGTAGAGTACTGGATGGTAGAGCGAGAGGTTGTAAGTTTGATCCTTGGGGCTGGATTAAAATACCTGGAAAGTGATGGCACTGTCTTTACCCTGCAAATAACTATACCTTCACATGTCTTGAATTGTTTGTTGAGATGGCATTCCCTTCTTCAACAGGGACTAAAGGGTAGGTCCTCCTCACTAATAAGCACCCCCCTCCACTTTAAGTTGGTAAGTATACAAAGCTGCAAAAGTCATTTAGCTGTGTATGATTAAAATTTGCCAATGTTTGATGAAACCCTACCTGGGGGCAGACAAAATGATTGGACACTTCAAATGCTAAAGACTAATTTGCAATGTAATTAAATTCAACTTAATGTATGCCTTATAACTTTCCTGGTTTGTCTGAGTACAGTAACAACCTGATCTGCCATGGTAAGATATATGTCCTTTCCAAAAAGCAAAGTCATTATGCCTTCAACTCACTGACAGTGATATGTTCATGTTGTTATTTTGCCAGGCATTCTAGGTTCCACTGTTGTTAACTACATTCGCTTGAAGCAGATTAAAAACTCAATCAAAGAAACTGGAACTGCATTAATAGAAAAAACAGATGAACTTACAGACCTCGTAAAATCACAGGATGGGGAAAATATTGGAATCCAAGCAACTGAGCTGAAGGAGTTCTTTTCAACACAAAATCAGTTACTGGAACAAAAGCTTGAGGAATTAGAACATGTCTTGAATTTTGTTACTTTGAATTTAGCATCTGAGCCTCTTAAAGAATTTGGAATTCACATTCAACCTCCAGGTGCAAATAAAAACTTTGGTGGTGGACAACCTTCAGGTGCAAGTCAAACCAAAAGTAATATCAAGGATATAATTAAAATAGTTGCATCAAAAATTGATTCTGTCACTGCTGGAATGAAAATAAATCAAAGGAAAATGGAGGATGGTTTTAGGGCACTGCAGCTAAATCTGGAGAAAGTGGAGAATTCAGTACTTCAAAAGGAGAAAAGTACTACAGGAATGGAATTAATGGAGCTTAATAAATCAAAAAACAACCAAACTTTACCTGCTAGAAGAGTTAGAGAAGCTGTCATTGATGAATATTTGGACAATAATTACTGGTGGATGAAGGCCAACACTTGCACAACTATAATCTGCACAGTATTGACTGCAACTATTCTAATATANCCTCGTAAAATCACAGGATGGGGAAAATATTGGAATCCAAGCAACTGAGCTGAAGGAGTTCTTTTCAACACAAAATCAGTTACTGGAACAAAAGCTTGAGGAATTAGAACATGTCTTGAATTTTGTTACTTTGAATTTAGCATCTGAGCCTCTTAAAGAATTTGGAATTCACATTCAACCTCCAGGTGCAAATAAAAACTTTGGTGGTGGACAACCTTCAGGTGCAAGTCAAACCAAAAGTAATATCAAGGATATAATTAAAATAGTTGCATCAAAAATTGATTCTGTCACTGCTGGAATGAAAATAAATCAAAGGAAAATGGAGGATGGTTTTAGGGCACTGCAGCTAAATCTGGAGAAAGTGGAGAATTCAGTACTTCAAAAGGAGAAAAGTACTACAGGAATGGAATTAATGGAGCTTAATAAATCAAAAAACAACCAAACTTTACCTGCTAGAAGAGTTAGAGAAGCTGTCATTGATGAATATTTGGACAATAATTACTGGTGGATGAAGGCCAACACTTGCACAACTATAATCTGCACAGTATTGACTGCAACTATTCTAATATATGAGATTGTCAAATAAGAGCACAAACTTTGCCATTTTGGCATCCATTCTTTTTACTCTTAGAGTATATCAACATACTTCAAACTTTGTTAAAAAAGGGGGACCAATAGACCTCTCAAGTATTTTTAAAGATATTAGAATACATTATATGAATAAACTAGTGATCCCATTCATGTTCGCAGAAATGCTGAATATAAAGAAATAATATTATATTACTATAAAAGTAACAAAACAAGAGATCAACTAAACTGATTTTGTTCCAATACCAACTAGAACAGCTTTTTTTTGGAATGCAGTGGAGAAAACTGCTGTGCATTTTGTGGACTTAATGTTTTTTTAAAAAGGCATTTCAAGAATCCAAAAACAGACCTTAAAATAAGGCATGCTGTAATAAAAAATGATCTCATAGAATATCAACCAAACTTGGCCTAAAAACTACTTATGTACAGCATTCATAGTTTTGAAAAAAAAGTGACTCTTCAAAAGAATTTCTCTTGGCAAATACCAAATATCAAAAGTTTCCCAAGTAGACACTCTGATCTTTAAAACAGTACTGTGCATCAAAGTTCAATCTACTGCTAGTTTGCATGTAAGCATTGACATTTTGAAAAAATCATTTTTAATGTATTTATTCAAAGTCGAAAATTGGTGGTCAGTCAGTTTAAAAAACTCCCTTGAGCCACCTTAAGTCCCTCCTTTGGCGGATTCTTGACTTAGGTTTGCAAGAATACTGGCGTGTTCGACTGTGGTATTTATGTGACTCTTAACACAGACTGGAGATATGGTAAGAAATTTAAAGAATCATGAATATGTAAGGGTTTAAACTCTGTGAGTTAACCTTACTCACTATCACATGGCTTTTTTACTTTAGTTTCAGCTTCTGCAGAGTGATGTATGGGCCCTCCTCAAGGGAATGTAGATGGCTACAGAGTAAGTGATTTATTACTTCATTGGTTGACAGTAAAACTATATTTTAACCTATTGAGATCAGCAGTTTTATGTGGCGGAGGCTCCAGAACAACTAAACACGAGTTGAACACTGATTTTAGCGGGGCAGAAATTGCAAATGTGATTGGAAAGATAAAGTAGACACATTTCAAGCATTGTTTTGAATATTTAAAGCCACCCTCCCCTTCCCCCTTATTCTTAAATAAAACACTGTACTTACAGTTTAACCCTCATTAAGCTGCCACCCTCGGGTTACTGGCAAGTAGCCACTTTATGGAGGTTAGCTGCTCAATAGAGGTATGTCATAAATCAGTATCATCTTTAGCAGAAACATCACTTTATTTTGAAATAAACATGCGATGTATGGTTTATTCACGTGCTTGAAGTATGGATTTGTTTCTTATCTTGACTGCATTACCTCTAACCTCATGAGCCTGACCCTTTCTACTGTGTGTTCTAGTTCTGTATGGAAAATTTATGCCATCAACTTTGCTAAATTGAATAGGCCCCCCTCTCTGTAAATCTCCCCCTCATATGTGCTTGAAATAAAAAGCCTACAAGGGGGGCTTAATTCCCAGAGGGGTACTTCGGATTTTAAGTGACAGGGATGATCGAATGGGGGTAAAAATCAAAACCCAAAAAAATCCCTGGAACAAAATTTAACCCACAAGTTTTCAGAAAGCTTTAAATGATATCGCACATGACTAGAAACATTAGCTTTGAATACCCCAAAAAAACCCTACTTAAATCAAGCTGCCCAAAAAAATACTTGCCAAATTTTCCTACCCTAAAAAAATCCCAAAATCGAAAATTTGAAACCCCCAAAAATCCTTTGATTATCCCTGTC